AATTTTTCATCTTCCCAAAATGAAACTCTGTACCCATTAACTCACTTTAAGCCAGTAATGATTTTCATGGCCTCCACACCGATTCTTCTCCTGCTTTCCTACTTGGCTAACATTTCAAGGCTCATCATCAAAATCACCCCCTTGCAACTACTCTCAAGCCTCTGGCACTGCTCCTCCTCCGTCAAACCTGCAGGGCAAAACACGAATTTTGGGTGAACTGATCACCTGCCTGCTCTTTGCTGCAGTCATAACAGCTGAATGTTGCTAGGAGAAAAATCACACAACTAGCTCAGCTGACTGGTTTCCCCTTAAATTCATGGCCCCAAGCCATGGTGAGGATTCAACAATGCCCAGCATTGAAACGACCTTGTTTCCCAGTTACTCAGTTCCTTGTCCTGTTGCTCAAGGTGAAGTGTCCATCTCTCCTGAAATCATCCACTAATCCACTACCCCTTCTTCGTTTAAGTTGCTGGCCTTGCGAAGAGACCAAGACTACCAAGACACTGTGTGGAACCCTGTCTCTACTAAAAATACAAAATTAGCCAGGTGTGGTGGTGCATACCTGTAATCCTAGCTACTTGGGAGGCTGAGGCAGAATTGCTTGAACCCGAGGTGAAGGTTGCAGTGAGCCGAGATTGCACCACTGCACTCCAGCCTGGGCAACAAGAGTAAAACTCCGTCTCCAAAAAAAAAAAAAAAAGAATGCTGCTCCACTGGTAGTCTTCTGGATTAGTCTCACCTTCTCTATTAAATATTCTCATTAGCCTATCTAGTTCCCACTGTTTAAAAGAAAGGCCCTCTTCTTTACATAGGGAGACTCTGTCTCTACAAAAAAAAATTTTTTTTTTCATTAGTTGGGTTATGGTGGTGCACACCTGTGGTCCCAGCTACTCAGAAGAGGCTGAGGTAGGAGGATCACTTGATCCCAGGAGGCTGAGGCTGTGGTGAGCCATAATTTGCACCATTGCACTCCAACCTGGATGACTGACACCTTGTCTAAAAAAAAAAAAAAAAAGCCCTCTTCTTTGACCCCATCTCCCTCTGAAGCCACTAAACTGTTTCTCTCCACTTTACAGCAGCAAAATTTCCCTAACTGTCGATATTCACCTCCCTTCCTACTCTCTCTTCAAAGCATTCCAATGTGGCTTGGACCACTTGTCAAAACAATCACCATCATGTTGTCAAATCCGAATAAACATTTCTCTATTCTCATTGTGTAACTTCTCAGCAGCATTTGACAGAGGTGACCATTCCCTCTTTCTTGAAAATAAAACACTCTCCCACTTTAATGGCTGAAACTTCTCAGTCTCCTTTGCCCAAGCTTTAGCCATTGTTAGTGTTTTAGGGTTTTTTTTTCCCCCACAGAGCTGGCTGTGTGGGAGGCCAGAGTTTTATTAGTCAAATCAGTCTCCTACGGCTTGATCTTAAGGCCACAATCTCAATCAGTTCCATGACATGCCATCTGTACACTAGTCACTCCCAAAATTCATGTGCAGTCTAGATCACTCCCCTCAGCTCGACTTAAATATTCATTGCCTACTTAACTCTCCACTTGGATGTCTCCCAAGTATTTCAAACATACAACAGGTTCCACACAGAACTCTTGCTACCCACCCCTCCCCACCTGTTCCTCCTCCAGTCTTCTCCAACCAGCAAATGGTACCATCAGCAGCCCAAGGCTGGGGCGTGCAACCTGAAGGCACCCTTGATTCCTCCCTCTCCCTCCACAGCCAACCTATTAAGCAAATCCTTCTGATTCCATCTCCAAAATATATATGTGAAAGCTGCTGTCTACTCTGCTGTATCTCATTGCCACTTTACTTGCCCGAAATACTATTGATCTTGGGCTACTACAATACCCTCCTAACTTCCCTGTTTCCTCTCTTCCTCTAAATAGTTATTTTTTAAAAAAATTATCACTGCCCAAATTAAAACCCCTCATTGCCATTAGAATAAAATCCAAAAATCCCCCTATGATGTAACACAAGAAGACCTATAGGATTTCTCCATCTCCATCTCATGCCTACCCTATTCTTAATTTCTCCCCTTGCTCAGAGGACCCTTCTCTCCATTCTAACATCCAGCCTTCCAGTTCTTTGAACTTGTTCCCATGTCTGGAATGTCTCCCCAGCTTTTCACATGGCTAGCACAAGTTCATGTTTCAAGTCTCAGCTCAAATATCACCTCTACAAAGAGACTTTCCTTGACCCTTACTACACAAAATGGTCATTCCCAACATACTCTTTTAGCTCCACCAGCCACTTATATTTTTTCTTAATCTGTCATTATCGTGATTTTAACTATTTTCTGTCCTTCCCCACTATACTGTAAATTCCGTGAGTGCAGAGATCTTGAATTCCAATAAAGGTTAAAGAAGCTACTGTTTCCCTCTAAGCAAGTTTATTTTAGATTTCCCCCTCATTTCAAGCTTTACTGGATTTTAGTCTAGTCAAAGATTATAATTACTTTGGCATTCACCATAAAAAACAAGGCGAGAAAAACCAGAAGTGACTTCCCTTCAAAAACTGTAAGTCACTCCACCCACCTAGTGGTCTAGACTGGACAGACTGCACAGAGGTATTCAACAGATGCTCCTTACAAAAATTTTCCAATGTGGACATATGCAAAGATGGTATTAATTCTGACATCTGCATCAAAAATCTAAGTTTTAAACTACTCTTCCTAGCAATCACTAAACACAACGATCTGAGAAGAATCAACAAGGGAAAGCACAAAATAAGTAAAATATATGATCCTTAATCCAGAGAAGTTAATGATTTCATCACTGACTTAGTTCTCTTTCTCATTTTAGTAAGGTCATCTATTCATCACCTGCTCTAGATGCTTCTTCCTGACCCGTTTTTTGTCACCAGGCTGGAGTGCAGTGGTGCGATCTCAGCTCTCTGCAACCTCCCAGGTTCAAACCATTCTCCTGTCTCAACCTCCTGAGTAGCTGGGATTACAGACACGTGCCACCACGCCAGGCTAATTTTTGTATTTTTAGTAGAGACAGGGTTTCACCATGTTGGTCAGGCTGGTCTCAAACTCCTGACCCTGTGATCCGCCCACCTCAGCCTCCCAAAGTGATGGGATTACAGGTGTGAGCCACCGTGCCTGGCCCTGACCTGTGTTTTTATACATATTCTGCTATTGGGTTCCACATAACTTGACCATCCTACTTCCCAAAACCAGAAGGTATGTCCACAATTCAAAATTCAGGAAACAGTCTTTTAAGGATTTATCTTCAGGTCTTTATATCAGGGTCTTTTCTACCCTATTCTTAATTTCTGGATCAATCCTGGATTCTTTTTTTTTGAGATTGGAGTTTCATTCTTGTTTCCCAGACTGGGAGTGCAATGGCACGGTCTCGGGCCACTGCAACCTCTGCCTCCCCAGTTCAAGTGATTCTCTTGCCTCAGCCTCCCAAGTAGCTGTGATTACAGGCACCTGCCACCACACCCGGCTAACTTTTTTGTATTTTTGGTAGAGATGGGGTTTCACCATGTTGGACAGGCTGGTCTCTAACTCCTGACCTCAGGTAATCCGCCCGCCTCGGCTTCCCGAAGTGCTGGGATTACAGGCATGAGCCACCGTGCCCTGCCTCAATGCTATGTTTGTTACACAGCTGTCTTGACTAAACTAGATGGCCTGGCTAGACCTAGAAGCCTGCATGTTGTGTAACTTCCCAACAGAATGAGACAATATACTTTTAAAAATGTACTGAGATTTTAAGGTCTTAGGATACCTAAACCTTTTTCTCTGAGGAAATAATTTCGATTATTTGATAAATGGCAGCTAGAATGGGAAAAATTAAAATGAGACTAATGTGAGCAAAAAACTGCTGAAACTCAAAATTATATGGACCTCGGCCGGGCGCGGTGGCCCAAGCCTGTAATCCCAGCACTTTGGGAGGCTGAGACGGGCGGATCATGAGGTCAGGAGATCGAGACCATCCTGGCTAACACGGTGAAACCCCGTCTCTACTAAAAAAAATATAAAAAATTAGCCGGACGTGGTGGCGGGCGCCTGTAGTCCCAGCTACTCCGGAGGCTGAGGCAGGGGAATGGCGTGAACCCGGGAGGCGGAGCTTGCAGTGAGCCGAGATCGCGCCACTACACTCCAGCCTGGGCGACAGAGCGAGACTCCTCAAAAAAAAAATTATATGGACCTCAATTCTCATGTTCCAATTCAAAAGAGCCAGCAGAACAGTGCATAGCATAGTATAAGAAAGTCCAAATGTGTATCTGTATCACACTGGAATCACCTGGAAAGTTTTGGAATGAATACTAGATCTTTGGGTATAGCGGGTGCAAGGTGGGCCAGAATGTCAACACTGAACATCAAGAAGTTGGAGCGCCTGACACACAATTAAAGGACCCCATTGGCCCTAGCAAATGATGGTGGAAGAGGTGATGTTACAAATCTCTATTTAAAAACATCTCCCAAGTTAATTCTGATGCTCAGATTTGGAAACCACAGGTGTAGGGGGAAAAACACAGCTTTCGTTATCCAATGGCAACTTTACTAAAAACTGCAAGACCTCGAACAATTACTATACTTCTGTGAACGTTAGTTCATTCCCCGGTAGACAGATCATAAAATCACTATTTCAGGGCTGATATAATAGAAATTATACAAAGCATCAAGCACAGTTTCTGGCATACAGATGTTCAATGAGATAGGTCTTATTAAATGGTCTAAAACATCCACTATGTATATTTATAAACACAAGGACACACCTACTGGCACCACTGTGTTATTTTTCTATACTAGAAATTAACTACTTACTTTCCATGTCTGCGGACTTCTAGAGAAATCAGAGCTTTACAAATCTTTCCCCTCCTCTTTTCAGTAACAATGTAAACGTTAAACCCCTCCCCCATCTCTAACACAGATACTTACTACCAACAGATACTTACATGGATGCTTTTAGGAAAATAATGCAGTTTTGCTTTTTAGAAGAGTTTCAGAGTGTTTTAAAGCATATTTAACTTTTCAGATCAGCGTTCTAAGAAACTTTTAATTCACTGCCATTTGAAGTAATATGAAAGCCAACAAGAAGTTTCAGAAAACTGGAACCCATCACCTTCTCAATCTGACTAGTAAATGTCTCCTCATGGTTGTTTTAGAGTAAAACTAAGAAACGAAGCGTAGGGTACCCACAAGAGAACCATGTTACGGGAAGGCAGACAGACAATGTCCTGGACTCTTTTTTTAGTTTTGTAACCTGGTTGGACTCTACTTCCAGTAACTGGAGAACGAAGGAAAAGCCTCAATGCCCTGCCCCCAAGCCGGGCCAGAGAAGACAAAGGCGTCCACTCTCAGATGGCAGGAGAGAAATGGCAGAAGCGCCTCACCTCCAATTTTGACTGGGAGGAGTGGGGGTGCGGGGTCAGGGAGGGAACCCATCAGCCGCGAGGCTCGACGCCCAGTCCCCTTCTTCCATCACAAGTGGGAAGGAGGAAGAAGCTGACCCCAGCCCTTCCCGCTCCGAGTCGGCGGCCTCGTCTTTTGGGTCTGGGGCCGTGGGGAAGGAGAAGGCCGCGCGACCCCAGTCCCATCTCCAGAATTCAGCACCCTGCTCTCGGCTCCCGCTGGCCCCGGGCCTCGCGGCGCCCTGGTCAGCGACATGTCCTCGGAGGGCGCCGCCCGCGCCGCGAGAAAGATGGCGCCCGCCGAGCAACTGCGCCACCAGCCCTGGCGACAGGCCAGGCCCAGCGCCATCTTAGCGCCTTCCAACCGCACCCCCCACCCAAGATCCCGCATTCGGGGCGACTCGGGGGGCGCGAATAGCATCAGGCCCGCGCGCACTCGGCCAAAAAAGCGCCGTCCCAGCCACACAGCTCTTCTGGCCAGCGCGGCGGACAACACGGGCCTCGTAGGAAACGCCAGGCTGGGCCGCGAGTCCTCCGCCCGGCTGGGGACTCAGCCGGACCCGGCCGCGGATCCTCCGCGTGGCTGGGGGCTCGGCCGGATCCGACCGCGGATCCTCTGCGGTGCTTCAGAAGGCAGCGAGCGGCTGGGAAAGGGCAGTCCCGCGGCAGGTGCGCGCCGCCGCCGCGGGCTCGGAGCGGGGCCAGGGCGACTTGCCGGCCCCGAGCTCTCCCCGCCGCAGCCCGGACCTGCTTTCCTCGCCGCGGCCGCCCGCAGATGCGGCGGGAAGGACGAAGCCAGGATGAAAAATAAACCCCGTCTCCGCCGCCTCCCTCCCCACCCTTTCCCCTCCCCCTCCCCAGACGCGGGGTCCATTTTGCCGAGAAGAAAGAAAATGTGATTCACACCCTAGAGCTTCCGAGAGAGAAAAGAAACGAGGGGGGGAAAACAGAGGGGAGGAGATTGGAAAAGCTTATTTTTCTTCCTCGCCCGCCGTCACTCCAGGCCCTCCCTGCCCCCTGCTCGCGGCCCCGCCGCGCCGTCTTCCCCTCGCCGAGCCCTGCTCCCTCCTTCCCGGCTCCCGGCGGCTCCGGGGGGCGGAAAACACACTCACACTCGCGCACACAACTAATTTTAAACCGGCTCAATCAATGAGTCATTAAAAGGCTTCCCTCCCCTCCCCTCCCCACCACCAACCGCCACGCCACCCCCTTCCCGGGCTCTCCCTCTCCCCGCTCCAGAAATTTGCATCCGCGGAAAAGAGAAAAAAAAAAAAGGAAAAAGAAAGGCGCCGGGCCCCCACCTCGCCGAGGCGCCCCCGGCCCGGCCTCGCCGCCCCCTGCCCGCCTGCGCCCCCGCCCGAGACACTGAACTTGGTCTTCCCGGGGCCCCGGCAGCGCTGGGAAAGGCATAAACACTCGATTCCCCTTTTCTCCGTGTCCATTAAACATCCACCCACCACCACCATCACCCACCCACAAACCCACCCCCCCCCAAAAAAAAAAAAACACAGCCTTAGCCAATAGCTCTCTGGGCTGAAACCTAATATCCTGGTTTTGGCAACTCGGTGTTTAATTTGCTCCTCTTTCTTTTCTGTCTGGAGACAGATCTCCAGCCCCCCCTCCCTCGCTTTTCCCCTCCCCGAAGGAAAGAGGCAGAGGAAGGAGGTTGTGTGTTTTTTTTTTCTCCTTGAAATTTTTATCACAAAATTATAATACACTCAAAGGGAAACTCACCGTCATGAAAAAGCAGTGCCTTGTCAACGGGGTTTCTGCGCCATCGCAACAGGGGCGGCGGCGGCGGCGGCGGGCGCGGGGCGCGGGGCGCGAGCGCGGGAGCTCCCGGCCGAGCGGCGCCGGCCACACGCGCTCCGCTCTCTCTCTCGCTCACCCCCGCGCCGGGCGGCGGGCGCCCGCTCCCCGCGCCCGCCCGGCCTTCATGCTCTGCGCCCGGGCAAACCGCTCGCCTGCTCCTCTACCTCCAAACTTCGGTTCTCGCCTGGCAAAAAATGTGGAGATTAGGATTTTTTTAATTAAAATTTTTTTTTTTTTTTTTTTTTTTTTTGGTAAATCAAGCTCCAAGGATGTTCATTCCTGTTTCCTTTGGGATTCTTTTTAACTTCAGAAATGTACTGGTTTATTCAAGAAAGTTTTATTTGGCTTTAAAAAAAAATTATTAAGATCCACGAGGTGCGTGCTAATTCTCTTGCAGGCTCTCTCTCTACACACACACACACACACACACAGTTTTAGCTTGACACGCGAACGGGGAAGATTAAAGACAAAAAAAAAACCTACAAGATTTGTTTAGAACTCTAATTAGAGCAAGCCTCAGTAAATACGTTTTGCATATGCTTTTTAAAAACCAAAACCACTTTTAACTTAGTTATTAGGCAAATAACTGGTTCGTGCTAACTTTTAAATGTACTAAGCTTTCCTTTGCAACACTCTTTCTCCATTCCAAAATTCGTGAAACCTTACCTGTGAAGCCCATATGTGAACATTAAAAAGGAAAACAAAAAACTTTAGTGACCAAAAGGAAGGTGAGGCAGAGTAAATCACTCTCAAAACATTCTACTGCCTTCTCTTTATGTAGATACCTTTTATCTCCATATTTGCGGAATTTTCATTACATAACCCCCTCATTCTTAAAAGAGAGCTAGTCAATCTTTTAACATTCTTTGGTCCAAGTATAACTACCACCCATTTTTTAATCTGAAATCTCAAATTGTTGAAACTTCTCTGTATCCAAAGCATTTAAATTATGTGGCCCAGGGCGGGCGCGGTGGCTCACACCTGTAATTCCAACACTTTGGGAGGCCGAGGCGGGTGGATCACCTGAGGTCAGCAGTTCGAGACCAGTCTGGACAACATAGTGAAACCCTGTGTCTATTAAAAATACAAAAATTAGCTGGGCGTGGTGGTGGGCTCCTGTAATCCCAGCTACTCGGGAGGCTGAGGCAGGAGAATCGCTTGAATCTGGGAGACAAAAGTTGCAGTGAGCCGAGATCGGGCATTGCACTCTAGCCTGGGCGATGGAGCAAGACTCAAAACAAACAAAACAAAACAAAACAACACAACAATATTATGTGGCCTGGAGTGAGAGCAGGTGCCTTTGTAGTCTAGGTTAACTACAAATGCCCACAAAATATACTGGGGGTTTTGTTGTTGTCTTTTATTTTAAATAAACATCAAGGATAGGTAAAAGGTGAATTGTACAGAATGTAATTCAGGTTTTAAAAAATACATATTAAGCCTCAGAAATGTTATAAATTGTTTTAAAATCATTCGTAATACATATAGCAATAGGATCCTGCTGATAAACAGAATGCTCAGCTGCTCTGCCTATGGAGTAGCTGTTCTCAAACGGCTCAAACCCATCTCTCCCAGATATTTGGTGACTTCTCAATAAAACTCTCCCTAGATTAAAATTATTTAAGTGAAATTATTGTATGGTTTCTATATCCCCTCAGCATTAATAAAAACATAATGGTAGTACACCTTTCTTGCATATATAAGGATACTGTAACTAGACTATGTTGCATAAATTAAATCTGTTGAGGCTGGCATACAATGTTGTCATAGTCAATACAGAAGATCTTTTTAGTTAGGGTACAGTAGTTCAAGCCTATAATACTAGCACTTTGGGAGGCTGAGGGAGGAGGATCATTTGAGGTTAGAAGTTTGAGACCAGTTTGGACAACACGGCGTGAGATCCCATCTCTAAAAAAAAAATTAAAAATTAGCCAGGTATGTGTGGCACATGCCTGTAGTTCCAGCTACTGGGGAGGCTGAGGCAGGAGGGCTGCTTGAGCCCACAAGTTGGAGGTTGCAGCGAGCTATGGGTAGTTTGACAGAGTGAGACCCTGTCTCTAAAAAATAATAAAAAAGATCTGGCTGGGTGCAGTGGCTCACGCCTGTAATCCCTTTGGAAGGCTGAGATGGGAGGATTGCTTAAGGCCAGGAGTTCACGAGCAGCCTGGCCAACATGACAATACCCCGTCTCTACCAAAAATACAAAAATTAGCCAGGCATGGTGGCATGCGCCTATAGTCCCAGCTACTAGAGAGAGGCTAAGGCACAAGAATCACTTGAGATTGCGCAAGAGAGCAAGACTCTGTCTCAAAAAACAAAGAAAAACACCATATCTTGTTCTGGTACTGCCATTCTATCATTCATAATGTATGCTTTATATTTAAATGTGCCTTAAAAATACATTCAGTGATTTAGTATCACACAGTATCATCGAGGTGTTTTCTCAGATATTTTGCTTCAAATGTATCCAAGGGCTTCTTGGAACAGTAATCTTTGCATAAATTAGCATATTTCTCTACACTTGATGGTTGGACCAACCAGTTTCTAATTGGCTTGGAAAATTTTTTAAACATGTTTTAAGGTGCCTTTGGATTGGCTGGGATGTAATTATAATACCCATTCTAAGAATTACATTTCAAGAGTCCATATATTATGCATTGCAATTAGGACCCACCAAGCAAGTTTTACAGCTGTTGCTCCACAGCTCCAATGATATATGTGTGTGTGTGTGTGTATTTTTTTTTTTTTTCTTGAGACAGATCTCCCTCTGTCACCCAGGCTGAAGTGGAGAGGCATGATCATATCTCACTACAGCCTGGAACTCCTGGGCTCCAGGAATTCTCTAGCCTCAGCCTTCCTAGTAGCTGGGAATATAGGTGAACACCAGCACACTCAGCCAATTTTTCAGTTTTTTAGAGACAGGGGTCCAGCCTGACCAACATGGTGAAACACCATCTCTACCAAAAATACAAAAAAAAAAAAAAAAAATTAGCCAGGCGTGGTGACAGGTGCATGTAATCCCAACTACTCAGGAGGCTGAGGCAGGAGAATTGCTTGAACCCAGGAGGTGGAGGCTGCAGTGAGTTGAGATTGCGCCATTGCACTCCAGCCTGGGCGACAGAGTGAGACTCCATCCCCACCTCACCCCGCAAAAACCAAGAGACAGGGTCTTGCTTTGTTGCCACGGTGGGTTTTGAACTCCTGGGTTAAGTGATCCTTCCGCCTCAGCCTCTCAAACTGCTGGCATTACAGTTGTAAGCCACGGTGCTGGGCCCTCCAGTGAAATAGTAATGGATTTCAGAAAGCTGTCCTCTCAAGTCAGCCACAATTGCAAGGAAACTGAAATCTGACTTTAAAAATGACCTAACAAAGCTGAATTTATATACTCATAAAGAGCTTAGGGCATTGCAGGCTTTTTAAAGATAATGTCCAAATACAAGAACATCAACATTTATTGAAGGTCTTCTAAGTGCCACCAGGCATTATGCTAGATGCTTATACACATTATCATATGAACTTTCACTCAAACCCGAAGAATAAGGTTTAATTATCTGGATTTTGTAAAAGAGGTTCCCAATAGGATAGTTTCAGCAATTTGCCTGGGGACATCAGTCTAATAAGGGCAGACAGGAGAACCAAGTCTGGCTGACCCCAAAACTCACCCTCTGTCAGGCCTGAAAAGGATCTTGGGAACAAGCAGTCTTTGCTGTTTCAATGTTAACATTAGAGTTTAGTGGTGTGGTACAGAGGGGACAGCTGTCTAATTAGTAAAGACCTACTTTGAGAATGCCAGTTGTCCAACCTAATTTTAAATCTGGAGGAGGAGTTTACAAAATACTGGGACACAGTAGGAGAATTTCAGATTCTCCAGGTACAACCAAAATTGTAATTATTTAATAATATGGCAAAACAAAAACAACTTTTTCCCCAGATTATTATAAAACTTCATTTAAATGAGGGATATGCTTTGTATATTAAAATTTAGAATTATAGTTTATATAGACAGGATTTTGGTAGCTGAATGTAAGATTAGAAAACTTTTTAAGAGGAAAGTTCTTCAAATGGCTTTACTATATGCAAATAGCTTTAATTGTATTCTCTACAGTTTAATTATGTACAATAAACTGGCCATTCCTATGATTCCCATCTGTGTATGTGACTTAGAAAGAAAGGCAACTGGACAGAAAAAGAAAGGAGGATGTAAATATAATTGAAATGTTCTAACACATGCTTGGACCACCACATAAACAGGCCCAGTGTCCACATAACAATGAAAAGTGAAAGTGTTCTTTTTTTTCCCTCCAAATGTTTCCCTTGGTTGGTTAAACATTCTCAGAAGTGGAGAATGAAAATGCTGGAGATTGAGC